TTTACTTAGAAGATTTTGGTTCACCACATTTTGTATATCTACCCTTTTCTATACTCCACTAAATAACAGTGTATCACCCTTTTTATACCCTAAAATTAAACTCTATTAAATTGCTTAAGTTGATTAGATAATACTGAAATGATATGCATATTCCACATGTTGATTACTATGCTCATTTCACAAAATCGAAGTAAATAGTTAAACCGGAAGGCGGGGTAATTGAATAGCCGGTAGTGGCGTTCCAAGAGATGGTTGTTGTGTAAGGGGGTTGGAGGCTCCTTCAGTGGTGTTATTAACTGCCAACCGCGACGGTGACAATGCTCTGGTTAAAAACGGTGGTTGCATTGTGAAAACCCAACGGTCCTGTTTAAAGCTCAAGTTCAATAGCTTTGAAATCCTCCCTCTACTACTCCCTTCACAATCGGTCCGGTTCGGCAACAAAATGAAGCTACTAGCACGTTGTAATTGTCGATTTATTATTCTCTTTCTAACTTCTAACGGCAATCTTAAAGTGAATCGTTCCGTGTTCTCAACAGGTTGAACCAACGAATGCCCGGTCGAGTGTGACCTTGGAAACCTTCTTGGCCGGTTACATCGGTCTCGCGTGCGGGTCCGGTTCAATGTTCTTTTATTAGAAGGTGGAATTATTACTTACTAATTCTGGATTCGTTGATGATAAGACTCTTTCATGTTCTGTTGATACGACGTCGTTTTGTGCTTCAATGTCATGTACCGAGTCAACATTGGTTTGGATCGGTAATGCGTGAACTGACTCACCGGGTTGAGGAACAAGGTTGGCTCTACAAACCGGGCACGTGGAATGAGAAGATAGCCATTCATCAATGCATTCAGGATGGAACACGTGATCACATTTTGGAATTAAACGCAACGTATCCGAGTCTTCAAACTCGCATAAACAAATCGCACATTCCAATGCTTCTTTTCCAATTTTGTGAATCTTAACCTCTGAATATTCTAAAATTGGAAAAGTATCTATGAAAGCACGGTCAAGCCCACGTGGCACCTTACGTGGTCGAATTTCGACACCTTGGATTCGTATGTTGTTGGATGGGGCATCGGTGCAATGGCGGGTATAGATTGTGAAGAAACCCATTAAGAAGAAAGCTGCCACCATAACCACCAAGATTATGGTGATTGAGGGGTTGTAACCCCGTTCAAAATTATCGTTATTAACTTCCGACAGCGTACTAGGTTCATCATCACCGGATTGGGCCGTGGCCAGAGGGAAATAAAGGAGGAAACATATGTATAAAGTGGTTCTCATCGCAATTGATTAGGGTGTGTTTGTGTCATTGTGATTGATGAAGGTTTTGTAACTTCCTTTCTTTTAGAAAGAGTTTTGGGATAAACAAGGTTTGTTTTTGTGACATTATTGCCTTTTGGGAATGATGGTCCTAATCATATTGTGGAATAGGAAGTATCCGCATAAAGTGGAGAATTGTTTGGTTCTTTGTGTTTAAACATAGAAAATCAAATATTTTAATTTGCATGGCTATCATAGATACTAATTTAACTATTTGCTTTGTCATTCATTCATAATACAAGAGATAAGTCTGCATTAATTAGGAGTACTCAAAGGACAATAGTCTTTCTCAATATTAACATACAAATCTTTATAAAATTTTACTATTTTATAAATCTAATAAAGTTTTTATCCCAATACTTGTATTTAGAGATGTGCATGTTTGGTATTGATTAAAATTTTGAGTTTTTGCTTATTTTTTGAAAAATAAACTTAAAATATAAACTATGTATGTTTGTCAATCAAATAAAATTATAAACTCAAATTTTTTTGAAAAAATAAACCAAAAATTATTGGTTTGTTTATTTTTTCCCCCAAATTTCCCACTTCTCATTTTCCCCTTTTGTGATATTATTAAAATTTTTATATAAAACTTGACATTTGTGTATCATTTATTTTGTGTATTGTGTAATTAAAGTTGAGCAACTTCTATTTATTTGTATGTCATGTTGCTTTTTAATATTGTTATTCGTTTTTATATTTTATTTTATTTTTTATCCTTTGTTATATAATATTAAAAATTAGAATATATATATATATATGATGGTAAATATTAAAAAATGTATATTTAAGTATAAAATAACCATAACATAAACAAATAACCTCATACGCATTTCTGTAATTTACTATGTGAAAAATAATTTTTCTACCTTACCCAGACAAAATTAGTTTATATTCAGTTTTTAGTTAAGGTACTCAAACATAAAAAGATTATAATTTTTACAGTATATAATCTCACAGTTTATAAATTAATATTAAAAAGATCATACATACCAAACTCCTTAAAACTATGTGTGACCTATTTTATTTTACTTACTCCATTCTTTTATACCATGTATGTTATACCGGTAACTAGCATATAAACTAGTTTGACACTTGTGTTAAATAATGGTGAGAGTTTCTTCATTTAAATTTTTTTGTCTATATCAATTTACTCCCTCAAAAATTAAAAAACTTAAAATGATCCCAAAATATAATTATGGTTCAAATTAGTCATTTTTTATATTTTTGACTCATGATAATAATTACTTTTATTGATATTCACGATGTTTGAGTACTAGTTTGAATTTATACCATTTTAAAATCAAAATGATACATACAAACATTTATAAGAATCAAATTTGATATCCACTGTTAACTAAATATTGAACATGCATCATTAGACTCCTATTTTTTTGTCATTTTTTTCATAAGTCTAGTGATTGATAGTAGAAACTGCTTTAGTGTTTTCAGCTTTTGAAAAAGTGATTTTTTTGAGATGGCAACCCTTGAATCAATGATGGAATTATGTCAAACTGTTTTGTGATGTAATGGTGTTGTTTGTGTCATAGGGTAGACATATTTATGGCCCACATAGTTCATATTTGGGTTCTATTCCAAATGAATGATGACAAAGTCCTTTATGTCTTACCCAACATTTAGAGGAATCACAAATCAGGCAAAGATATGTTTGTTTTGAATAAGGCCAAACACCCTAGCAATAATGCAACAAACAACACGAGGATGACTTAAGTGACAACAATTTTCATATAAAACTGTGAGATTAATAAATTTGAGTGTTATAAATAATCATGAATAATTAAAATTAAAATTTAGTTATTGGTCACATGATAGTTATGTGCATATATCTTTTAATCTTAATCATTCAAATAAGATTCAATATTCTCTTTGCTCACAATTCCATATATATATATATATATATATATATATATATATATATATATATATGCAAGGCTGGTGAAGTAACAATAATGCAATGAGTTTTCATACACTTCCCTTATCTCGGCATCAAGAATATAATATACTTGCTTGGTTATTTGTTATAAAGCATTTTTAACCGCATTACAAAAACCAATAGAATAATTAATTTAATTATTTTTTGTTTAAAAATTAATACAACATTACAATTTTATTCTTACTTAATGCTATGTATCAACCAGACAAAAGCTAATATTTTGTTCATCATGTGTTAAATATTTTAAGAAAAAACAGCATACCCAAAATAACATTTTTATTTTGATATATATATATATATGGAAAGAACAGGGATTCTCTCGAGTAATGAATAGATAATTACTTATATTTATATTTGTTTTTAATAATAAAAATATAATTTTATTATAATTTAAAGGATAAATATGTCATTGAAATTTTTATTTTTTTTCATTTTTTAAAATATTTGACTATTAATTAATAAAAAATATTTTGACAAAAGAAAGTGATTACAACTGCCCAAAAGTGTCCCCTCTATCAACAAAAGTACTTGAGCCTTTTTCTCTCTAGCAATTTTAGCAAGAATCTCTGACTGTGTCAGCTTTTATTTTCTCTTTTGCATATTTTCATCAATGTTATTATTACCAAATGACCAAGTCCTTTCTCTTTTTGGTTTCATAAATTCAAGAGGAAGAGGAATAAAAGAATAATAAAAAGAATTTTACCAATTAAATATTTTTAAAATTTTCTCATTGCACAGGATTTCATTTTCATGTTTCAATATTCAAATATGAATCAATCTACAAATTAGACGTTGGTTTAGTGATATAAAGTCTTCCCGAATCCATATATATCGTACTAAGCCAAAAGTTAATATTCGATTTCTGATAACCATAGTTATTAGGGGGTTAATCACGTACATCAAAAGAGTTAGTTCCATATCCATAGAGGATACGTTTGATTATAGTAAAAAAATTCCTAATAAATGAGAATTAAGATAAATGTGCTTCAACTTTATGGTAAAAGATATAGGGAATAATGTAGGTCCTGGTATGAGGAGGTAACTCCCCTCCTTACACCAATTATATAGTGACATATGTTACCTCACATTCTTTTATTTCTTTCCAGTCTTTTCATATTTTGAATTGGTAATAATCATTTTCATTTTTCTCCCTTATTTCATTCACTCATGTTCACTTATCTTCTTCTTCCCCTTTCTCTCTATTCTCTTCATTCTAAAATCATAACTTTTAGAAGGTTTAAAAAGAATAATATAACTTTATGTCTTATATTCATCTTCTTCATGTTCAAATGCGGTAATAGTAGTGATGTTAACATGCAGTTGTATATATATTAATCTTCTTCATCTTCTCCACACATTTATTATTTTATTTTAAGAGAAAAGAAGAGATAAAGGGGAAGAAGAAGAGAAGTAAACATCAGTGAATGAAAGAGAGGGAGAAATGTAAATGATTATTACCAATTCAAAATATGAAAAGACATATGTTACGTCATAAATAAATGTGAGGTAACATATGTCATTATATAATTGGTATAAGGAGAGGAGTTACTTCCTCACAATAGAACCTACATTATTCCCAAAGATATATTAAGAAGCAACCATATATATATATAGATAGTTGTTCTTAATTCACACTTATCTGTTTTTGTCTGCTGGTTAAACCTATTATATATATATATAGTTCTACTCTACATTTCACGTGAAAAACAGTGTTCATTTTGTGTATCTTCACTTCAAATCCCTTTAAAAACTTGAGAAAAATACTTGTCAAGAAGACTCAATTCTTTCTTTCTTTCACTGCAATAATCTCTGAACATGAAAAATCTTTGACATGTGTTTGCATAGAAACATGGCACTAGAAGCAGTGATATATCCACAACAACCACAACACCCTTTTGCTTATGTTTCAATCAAAGACCTTCTCAACTATAACAACAACAACAACAACAACAACTTCATTAACCTTAAACAACAAGATCAAAAAGGTTCTATAAACACTTTTCTAGATAACCAAACAGAAAAGAAACATCCTTATGAAGAATCATCTATGTTAATGCCACAAATGAATGTTGATGAAGGGCATGTCCCATATGATATTCCAATATCTTTAGATCAGTTCAACACAAACAAGTTAGTAGATAACTCAACAACTTCTTCAAAGGTTTCTAGGCCAAAGAGAAGAAGAGTCAAAAGTAGAAAGAATAAGGAAGAAATAGAGAACCAGAGAATGACTCACATTGCTGTTGAACGTAACAGAAGAAAACAAATGAATGAGTATCTTTCTCTTCTTCGTTCTCTCATGCCTGAATCTTATGTCCAAAGGGTACTTCCATTACTTTTGCTTGTTCCATAGTTTTTGAGTAAAATAATTGGATATTTTTAAGTAGCTTCTGATTATAAGTTTTTTTTTAAATTATAAACTAAACTACCAAAGTCCAAGTATTTGGTTCCCTTAGGTAAAGTTTTTTATTAGAGACGGAGAAATTTTTAAATAATTTTTTCTAGATCGACCCGTTTTAGACAAAGTCTGATATAATTCTTAGATACTAGACTTTTGGATAAAAAATGTATGTAAAGTAAACTGAAAAGCACTTACTTCTAAAGGATATACTTACTCTCATTACTTGTTCTACCAAAATAGTTTGTTTTGGTTTTGATTACTTTGGGAGAAGATAATTCTTTTATTTCTTTCAAAAGTTTTATGAAATGGGTGTGATTTTTTGTGCAGTATATATAGTTGTGATTTTTTGGTTTCTTGAAATGGGTGTGTTTGTGTTTTGATTGATGAATGCAGGTTGATCAAGCATCCATAGTTGGAGGGGCTATTAACTTTGTTAAGGAGCTTGAGCAGAGGCTGCAATTTCTTGGTGCTAAGAAAGAAAAAGTAGAAGGAAAATCTGATGCAAGTACAAGCATACCCTTTTCTGATTTTTTCACCTTTCCACAGTATTCAACAAGTGCTAGTTTCTGTGAAAATTCTCTGGCCATGAATGAGCAAATGAGTGAAGTTAAGTGTGGCATTGCTGATATAGAAGTGGCAATGATGGAGACTCATGCAAATCTCAAAATAAGATCAAAGAAAAGGCCCAAACAGCTGTTGAAAATAATCTCTAGTTTGCATGTAATGCATCTCACAGTTTTGCATCTAAATGTTAATACCAGTGGGGAAATTGCTCTCTATTGTCTCAGTGTTAAGGTTTGTGTTTGGTGCCTTTGCTTTTCACTTTTCAGTCACTTTCCCACTGAAATTAAGCACTGAAAAGTGAAGATGTGTTATTGAAAATTTGTTGCAGGTGGAAGATGATTGCAACTTGAGATCAGTGGATGAGATAGCTGCAGCAGTATACCAAATACTGACTAGGATTCAAGAAGAGGCAATGTTGAATAATTAAGATTCTAACTTCAACTAATTTCCTCCATTTTATTTTTTTGTTTAACTAGAGAGCTTATTGATGATGGATATTTCCCACTTCTCTCCTATTTCAAGTTACGGGACGAACTTCTGCACAAATTGTTCCCTCGTGACCAAGAGATTACGGGTTCAAAACCTTCAGGCAACCTTACTACTCATCGGAGTAAGATGATTGCATATATCTATCCTCCTAGGTCCCATCGGGTGGAATCATCATGCACTGCCACTCTTTTTTTCCTTCCTATTTCAAGTTTTGTACCAAATTGTTGCAACTGCTGTTGATCCTTTGTGCATATACTAATTTAGACTTGATGTTGGTTCATTGAACTTGGTGAGTCTAAATGTCAACCTTCACAATAATACCTAAGACATTGACATGATTCAAAACTAACTACAAGAATTTAACATTGGTAGCAGAATATGACAGCAATAGTCTTTATCATCAACAACAAAAGAAGAAGAAAACATTGAATAACAGGCTTAACAATAATATCTATAGGCCAAGATCATAAACAATGTAAAAAATTAATAGGTTCTATCTTTATTAGCAAGTTTCTCCATCTCTTCATGTCTTACAACATCTTCAATAGTGCAATACAATTGTTTTATATGTTCCACTATGCCATATCATTTTGCAACTTCTAAGCAATTTTCCACTCCAATGGTGTAAATTTAAGCAACTCTAAATCATTAAATAAATTTATACTATTTGTCGGTCCAACCAAAACCGTCCTTGATGCAACTTTCACTCTCTCACCTTATGTTTGCAATGTAGGGACCCAAAATTTTCTATACAACCATTGCTTGAAAAAGCAAGGCAACTCAGTTCCACCTAAGCTCACTCTAATCATGCAACTGTCTAAGGTATGCAACCCTTAGGGATAAGGATCTTCCAAGTGACTAAGTAAAACATTACATGTGAAAGACAAATTATTATCTTATACTAGCCACTTCAACAAAAAAGATTATCTTATACTAGCCGATTGTGAGTACAAGTGATACGTAGTAGTCTTACATCGGCTTCATTGTATGACTGCATGTACCCGATGAGCTTTACTGGCTTCAGTGAATCAGTTAGGTCCACAATGTCAAGTTTAGCCTGATCCCCAAGAGAAAGAAAGTAGTTGAAAGTTTCAATGTTCCTGATAACACATGCAATATAAGCCACCGGTGTTTCTTTTGCAAGGCCATTACTAGCACCATTATAAATTGTTTTGCATCTACCAGTAGATCTGTCACTATCATCTTCTCTATAAACATGTTCACCATTCTCATGTCCACCATTTGGAGAGGGACCGTTGTGCGGTTCCATCCGATTCAAAAGAATGGTAAGTAGTCGAACGAGATGTGGAAGACAAAGTGGATCATATATCACATCTGCACCCAAACTGAAATAATAATGTAATAAGAATGGCACCCCAAACAAATTTTAAGGAACAGTGATGAAGTAGTTTTATATCTCATAATAAGTTAAAGTTCAACTCTCACACAATATCTGGCATGATATCTTGGAGTTCACTTTCTGATGCAGATTCCCATGGCAGATACATGCATTTTACCTGAGATATGTGGATCAGTTGAATCAACCACAGAATGTTCACACATATAATTCAGATTATATTTCCCTCTATCTATATAATTAAAAAATATTACGTTTAAAGAGAGCTGTCAAAGGTTGCAGGCACCATCTACACCAGACAGTTTTGATTTTAGTTCATATAACTTTTATCGACACAGATCAGATTGTGACTAACATGACAGCAAAAGTTCCAGAAAGATGATTTAATGATTAATCTTCCATGAACAAAACATCCAGTCATATGTTGAAACTACAAACTGGAAACTAAGGAAAATGTGAATAACGAGATGAGATGATAAGTTCGGGTAATCAAATTAATACTCTAGTGAAAGATGAATAGAGGATTACTATTTACGAGGTTTAGAAAAATCCTCAGTATTATATGAAAAACCTGAGAGATGAATGGTTTGAGGATTATTTTTATATAAACAAAATCTAATAGGCACCACTATATACAAATTGAGGCTCACCGATTTTGGATATTGGTTTCCTTGTGGCATGTCAGTTTCAACAATCAGGTGGTTCAACTCCAAATTTAACTTCATGTTAGCTAATGTTGATAGATCACCATCACTTAATATCACCTGTGAATAGACAACAGAAGAACTCAAAGTTGACTAAATTTGACAAGTATATCTCCCGAGATTACCGTAAAAAGAATCCATGCCGAATTTTTATTTTGTAAATCTCACTCTGCTCTAAAGTATTCTAATGTAAACATGGTTTAAAAGCATAAATGCTTTCATTTAAATTTATGCATAGGTCATCAAATAGTTTGATATACCTTGGAAGCTTTCACATGAGCTAGACATAATCCAACTAAGCCAACTCCTGAACCAATCTGTTTCAACTTTCACAAATATTAGGTAAGCGTATAATAAGAAAAGTCAAAAGGCATCTTAATGCAACGAGTGAAATGATTAAAATTTAAAAAACAGAAAATCAAAATTACGACTATTGCAAGGGAACAATTATATCTTAGAGCTAATTTGGTAAGTGGAGTTAATGGCATAATTGTTTATTCATGATTGGTTAATGTTAAAATTGCTACTAAACTAAAAAAATAATTCTTAAAACATATAACTGACCTCAAAGCATGATTTATTAGAAAACAATTCTGGATGAGAAAGTATTAACTCAGACAGAAACAGACTTGAAGGCCATATAGAGCACCTGCAAAACCATAACAATACCAACTATAAGAGGTTAATGTGAGTTATACAAAGACCATCCATACAAATGGCATGGACATATTGATGGAAGAAATATTATAAGCTGTAGACAGATCTAATAATGCTCAAGTCGGCAGCGTTGCTGGATTCAACAATCAACAAAGGGCAACCTTGAAAGGTTGCATTTTATATGCAAAATTTCAAGATATCAAATCGAAAGCATGGATTCAGATACGAGATATGTGTAGCACATCATACAGATATATTGATATAGAAAAACATATAGACAAAAAGTATCTAAAGGGTATCTAAGCATTTGAAGATATGATACATATCAAATACTGATATTACAACCAATTTAAAGTATCGATGCTTCATAGGATATCACGAATGAGCTTACCCTGTATCACCTTCAAGCATGTTTAGAGAACATTGCAACGGAAACAGCAATACCCTTGAGTCCGGACAACTTCGATTTTCAGAACAGCCTGGCGATACCAGTTAACAAGCAATGATAAGCTGAATGAAATACCATCATAAGAATCAATGGAGATGAATCGACTGAATTATGTATGACTAACCATCAGGGAAAAGAAACGAAATTCTCTTGCAGATTCTTGCATCTCTTTTGCCTAAACTACCATCCTAACGAAAAAATGAGGAAAAATAATCTCAAACATCGAAATCAACAATTTCCAACTGTATTCGGTCCTCGAAAGATTACAGTATCATCAGGTAGGTCCTTAGACATATTTTGTCAGCAAACAAATTCTTAAAAGATTTAAAATGCCAACACGTTGGTCATTCTAAGAACATAATTGGTGACAAAAAAACTTTCAATTTTAGGGCGTTTAAAAATCTTCCAAGGACTTCATTGGTGATACAAAACTTCCAAGTGGCAATAACAAAATCTTTGGAGGATAAAATTGAGGGTTTACTGAAAAACAAAGGATGGAATTAGTTATTTAAATTGCGGACGGCCGCAATATTGCGGTTGCGGTGGCCACCACAATTGCAGTATGACTCCGAATCACAATGATACGGCCACATCAGACCGCAATGCAAGGACCGCATCGGGTTCAAAAATATTGTTTTAATCGCAAAATAATTCACACCGCAACAATCGCAATCCGCATCGCAA